TCTCTCTCTCTCTCTCTCTCTCTCTCTCTCTCTCTCTCTCTCTCTCTCTTTTCCATCCTGCCCCGGCTAGCCTCGGCCCCTGTTGGGCATTTTGGGTCGGTAGGGGGGTGGAAGCGCGCTTCAGTTTCAAATCACAACTCCAGTTCGTAATAATTGTTGTATATTTGCTTGGGCAAAATATTTACTTGGATTAGCTTAGTTATAAAAAAAAATCACAATCGTAAAAACATTCTAATTCGTCTGAGAAATATGACATTAAATTATTTTTATCGGCAAGACAAATATTCGCATTTGACATCGGGTTCCTCGCCTGTCGTTTAGCAGCTAGTTTCACGTGTAATAGGCCAGACAAAATCTGCACACAGCGACAGCGACACCGTCGTCTCGCTACAGCCTCACGGCCCGCCGCGGCCCCGCCCCGACCGGATGTGGGTCCACAGGTGCTGCAGGAGCCACGCGCGCTGCCGAAACGTCCCGCCGCACTCGGTGCAGAGGAACGCGGCCGGCGGGGAGGTCTCGCGTGGTGTTCGGTAAGGCGGCGCCACAGCCTTGAGGGGGACGTGCTCCTCCTTGAGGTGGCGGTACATGGCCCGCCTGCTGTCGCCTTGGGGTTTGTGGCACAGCGGGCACCGAAAAGACGGACCCGCGTGGTCGCGGAGGTGGTTGATGAGGTAGCTCGGGAACCGCAAGAACTTGTTGCAGAGGCTGCACTCGTAGGGGCCACTGTCGGCGTGGTGGAAGAACAGGTGAGCTTTGAGCTCACAGCCGCTCTTGAACCGCTTCTTGCAGACCGTGCACTGGTGGGGTTTCTCGCCAGTGTGGGTCTTGAGGTGGTTGTTCAACTTGGCGACCAGCCTGAATTCCCTTTGGCACACGGTGCACTTGAACTCCCTTTTTTCCTGGTGGATCGTCTTGTGGCGGATGAGGGCGGCCGGGTCCGCGAAGGCCATGGGGCAGTGCTCGCACTTGCAGGGCTTCTCACCGGTGTGTGTCCGGATGTGGCGCAAGAGGTTGGTCCATTGGCTAAAAGCCTTGTCGCAGAATGTGCACTTGAACGGCTGTTCACCGGTGTGGGTCCTGAGGTGAACCCTCTGCGCGCTGCTCTGGGTGAAAGCCTTCGGGCAGTGCGGACACTTGAAGGGCTTTTCACCCGTGTGCGTTCGAAGATGCACCTTAAGTCCCGCAGCATCTCCCCAACATTTCCCACAGATTGCACACCTAAACGGCTTTTCTTTCAAGTGTACTGCGCGGAAGTGAACACTTAATGCGCTGCGGTCTTTAAATGCCTTCTGACACACGGTGCACTGGTAGGGCCGCTCGCCAGTGTGCACCCTCATGTGGGCTTCTAGGGTGCATCTCATCGGGAAGGCCTTGTAGCAAATGGCACACTCGTACTTCTTGTGAGGGGTTCCGGACCGACTTGGATGCTTCATTTTAAATGCACCTAAAAGAGAACGAATGGCGCGTGTTAGTGCTTCACACACAATAGCACGGGATGGTGTTCTAACTTTACCCGGTTTGCCTCGTTGGAACCCTGCTTACCTGGGGGCGGCCGGGCTGTCGGGGCTGCGATGTTTAACTGCTGCTGCCTGGAGGTACTGACAAGACTGGGGGCAGGAGGCGGGCGGACACGGGTGCGAGCGGCTGCAGGTGAGCTGGGCCCCGGCCCCGGCCCGGCCGACTGTCTGACCTGACGTACTTTCCCGGTACCTTGCGTCGGGCCCTGGCTCCTTTTCGGGTTTTAACGCCAAGCACCGCCCCCCTCCCCCTGCGTTGGGGTAGGCCCTACGGCCTACGCACCAATGGACGGGCCAGTGCACCATGGGACCTCTTTTGGGGGACTGACTGATGAGGGAGCGCGCCACACTTTCAAAACTCACATTTTGTGTCGACACGAAACGCAAAGTGTCGACACATTCCAGAATTCGCACACACTCTACGATACTTAGGACCCCTCCACTCCCCTCCCCCCTCGCAATAACACCCAGTCGGGCGTATATGATGTGGGAATGCACGTGTTTCTGGGTGTGACGAGAAAAAAGACTGGTTGGGAAGAAATTGACCTTTTAATTCAAGGTAAAATTTTTACAAAGCCAAGCATAACGTTTTATACAAGCAGATGGATCCAGTGCTCGTACCAGTCTTCACTGTGTCCCTCCGAACACTCGTCCAGAGGGTCATGAGAGAAAAGGCAAAGGCGAGACCCATCACGATTGGCATGATCGCCCCTCAGTTCGCCGTGGCAGTCCAGTTCACATGCCTGGCAACGCTCGTCATCTTTACAGACGAGTTTCAATAAGGGGTCGAATTTGATATGGAGTGAGGGGTTCACCGCCATAACAGTCTTGACCGTGTCCCCGTGGAGCCAGGAGTGAACGCAGTACTCAAACAGAGTCACCTCAACTGTCCGCAGCGCCGGCGCCACGTCGGGGCTGATCGCCAGCAGAAGCTCGTCTGGTTTCCTTGCGTTGTTGTCATCGAACTGGAGGCGCCGCAGCGCTGACAGCGACGGCAGCGCGCTGACCACATGCTGAAGAAGCGGATTTTCGTCACTATCACTATTACCATAGTTTTCGATGAGCAGAGTCTCCACGCGCGACCTTCCGGACGAGGCCAGAGCCAGGACGAGATCGGCGCCGACGTCGGCGCCGCTAATCACCCCGGGATTGTACTCCAGCTTCACTTCGCGGAGGTGTTCGGCCCGCCGGAGGAGCTTGGCCAACCCCGCGACGGCAGGCCGGTTGATACTCTCGGTGTGGACGGTGAGCTCCAGGGCCCTGAGTGACTTGCAGGCCGCCAGGGCCTCCATCCCGGGCAGGCAGCTGCATCTCAGCTTGTTGAGGTTTGTCAAGCCGCCCAGCAGGGGGGAAGTCGAGGTGAAGGCCAAGGCAGACGGGAACGGGTGGGTCCCGAAGGAAACCTCCTCGAGGGTGGCAGCGTGCTCGGACAGGATGAACCTCACGAACGGCTCCGTCAACGGAGAAAGGTTGCAATCGAACTCCCTCAGTGACGGCGTGACTACGGCGCGGCCCAGGATAGGGGCGGCTGTGTTTGTCAGCCGGTTGCCTTCGTCCACATAGACGGAGAGCCTCTCTAATCCAGATGTCGACGCCAACATACCCAACAGCATGGGAACATCAATCGCCACCGCCGACGTGATTTCAATTGCAACGCCAGTAAGCCGCCCGAGCATCTCCTGCCTGCTGACGATCGCTGCAGCGTGCCCGGCGTGTGCGGCTCCTTCCACACGAACCCACAACCTCGCCGCGGCGCACCTGGTCGAAGCGAACGCCCACTGGGGGCACCCCTCTGCAGGAAGGCAAATAGAAATCGTGTCGAGGCACGGCGCCAGGCGCAGCAACGGGCACGAGCAGTAGGGTTTGGAGTAGCAGACTTCAAAGTCGCGCCATACAGCCGGGTGCAGGGCCAGGGCAGCCAGCCGCTTGCACACGAGGCGGCAGGCCAAGATGTCTTCTGCAGTTTCCAGCTCCTCAAGCACCATCAGCAACACTTCATCCGGTAGCATCTCCATGATCTGCAAAGACACGCTCGAGGTCAGCACAATTAACAATGTGACGACATCCTTGTCAGAAGTCAGAACAGTCGAGCAACGCACGATCAGCTGTCCAAACCGGGTGTAAACTGATGCAGAAGAATGCAGGGGACAGGGAAACAGAAGTCACCATGTTAAAGCATGGCTATTTCCTGTTTCTTCTTTCCTGCATTCTTCTGCATTTCAGCTTTACCGGAATGCTTTGTGAAGGTCGAACCTCGATAGCGATATTTTTGTGAGACGACCTAACGCGGAGCTTTCCCTCTCTCACTTTCTCTCAGCCCGCTCTGTCCTTTTCGAGCTCGTCCATCCAATAGGCACCCACATCGCCCCGCGCAAATGACCACCTCCAGCAGCAGCAGCAGTAGTAGCAGCAGCAGCAGCAGCAGCAGCAGCAGCAGCAGCAGCAGCGCACCACAGCTGGCCGGGCAGACGGGGAGGGGG